ACCCCCCCCCCCCCCACGGCCCGTCTCTCTGCCGTCTCACCTAACCCCCCGAGGGAGTCACGCGCAGGCGTCAATGTGTGCCCATACATTTAACCGCATGTACGATCGGCTGATGAGTACGGAGTATGTCAGGCCGGCGACGTTGCAACGCGCAAATCCGGTTGACTTGCTAATTTTAACTCGACCGTGACACTAAGTCGCGCACGAGCAGTCGAACGAGTGCGGGAGAGCGTACCGACACCTTATGCCGATTTTACATGCCCTCGGCCGTCGTACATGCGTCGCTAGTGAAAATCATGTACGCTAAAGAAGGGCGGCGAGGAGGGGAATAGGAAGCTAAGAGGAGCCTACACGGAGCTCCGCGAATGACAAGCTCGGATATATCCAAGTTTTTTGAGATTTTTCTGTTTCACGCAATCACTGTACGGCGATTATCTAGACGTCAGGTCACGCAGTCAACGGACTCAAATCCCAAAGAGTACGAGCCGACAAGAGATTTAATATGAAATTGTATATGATTTGAGAATCGCAGGTCGATAATGAATTGTTGTACGACATAATGTCTCGACGAGCAATACTCTCATTTGCCTACGACGTGTATTACAAATAGAATCACAGTGTCGATCAATTATTTTTCATTAATGCTAATGAATCGATATGATTCCCAGTGCCAGCATCGTGCATCGGCTTAGTTATTCAAGTTCGTCGCTTTACATTTCCAGGTAAAAGTGTTAATCGCTTCAATTTCCAATTCGTCGACAGATTATAATTTTCTTCATTTTATCCAAATGCTTTGTTGTATGGCAATATAGTAGGGCTATCCGCACATTGTAAGGCCAAATAGTTTCGGTTTACTGGGTAAAGCAACCGGATTTCCTTAAATTTTCTCTCATTCGCATTTTTAACCTGCTCGTTAATTCAATTTAAGATATTGTTCTCTAATTTATGGGCAAATAATATACAATTATCTATAGTCATGAGTATGATTACGATAAGCATAGGCTCGAGTATACACTCGCTCAGAGGAAAAAGTTTCGATAATGACCTAATTTAATTGCCGGCAGAAATAACTCACAACTGGCCGCGCAACATTAACGTTACAGCTAATTTGCAATGTATAGAAGCTATGGCTAGTGGCTCAAGTCCATTGAAAAGACAAGCTCGGCGAGCCAATTTTTTCTCAGCAGCGACAAGAAAATGCCGGTAAGTTGCCTAGTCTCCTGCCTTATTCTCTTCGGACCGTCAATCATTACGTGCGATCGGTTTTATTCGTAATGACGGATGTCGCGCACGCGTGCACACACATGTGTCGTACGAATCGATCAGCAGCGCCGGAATGCATAACCGAAAGCGCGAAAGACGACTTAAGCGAATACTCGCGCTAATCCCCGAGACCCCAGGTGCGATCCCGTCCACCTTGGACTTCCGCGTCGTTGTCAATGCATTGAGTCGCGGGACGCGCCGGAGGTTACGCGGTACGCGTAACAAACAAATGGTGGAAAGGGGCACGGGGATATCGATTTCAGCTCCCTCGCGCGCCTGGTATGCACGGCCATTGTGGAATGTGCCGCGCGCACATTATATGTCCTGCCTGCTTGCTCCCCCCCCCCCCCCCCCCCACTCCCCCCCCCCCCCCCCCCCCCCCCCTACTACTACTACTACCCCCACTACTATTACAACTACAACTAATACTACCACCACTACTATTACAACTACAACTAATACTACCACTACTACTAATACTAATACTAATAATACTACTACACCCTATCCCGAAACACACGACCTACGACTCGTCGTCCCTACCGTCGCGCTGGCTCTCGCTCGCTCCTTCGCGCTCTCACTCTATCGTCCACTCTCTTCCTCTTATCCCTCTTTCATTCGCACACGCTCGTGTCGAGCCAGCGTATACAATTACCAAGCGCGTCCCCGTATATGCATGCGCGGCTTACGCCTACGCGAACGTGCGCGTATGCGCGCCGCGTGCCACTGTTCGATATAAACCGAGTGCGCGTGCGCACAGCCGTGCGGCGCGCTCTTTCTCCTCTTCGTCTTTCTTTACTTGGATGTCGTCGCGACGATTGTATAATTTTGATTTTTAATTAAATGCAAATGAGCGAACGGTACGGCGTGCCGCGACGCAGAACCAACCGATTCCCTAATATAAAAGTCGTAAGGGGTCTGAGGAGTGACTCGCAACCCTTCGATATTAGGCATTAGCAGCGCGTCCGCTGCGATTTTATCATTGTGCCTATGAGAAGGAAAGAAATAAAAAAGACGTTTGAGCAAAAAAACAAAAAACCAAAAATAAAAAAAAAAAGAATAAAGGAGGGGAAAGGAAGGAAGCAAATAGAAGGAACACGGGGGACAGAATAAATTGACGGGACGGGACGAGGCGAGACGGGACGGGACGGGACGGGACGGGACGAGGCGAGACGGGACGGGACGGGACGGGACGGAACGGGACGGGACGGGACGGGACGGGACGAGGCGAGACGGGACGGGACGGGACGGGACGGAACGGGACGGGACGGGACGGGACGGGACGAGGCGAGACGGGACGGGACGGGACGGGACGGAACGGGACGGGACGGGACGGGACGGGACGAGGCGAGACGGGACGGGACGGGACGGGACGGAACGGGACGGGACGGGACGGGACGGGACGAGGCGAGACGGGACGGGACGGGACGGGACGGAACGGGACGGGACGGGACGGGACGGGACGAGGCGAGACGGGACGGGACGGGACGGGACGGAACGGGACGGGACGGGACGGGACGGGACGAGGCGAGACGGGACGGGACGGGACGGGACGGAACGGGACGGGACGGGACGGGACGGGACGAGGCGAGACGGGACGGGACGGGACGGGACGGAACGGGACGGGACGGGACGGGACGGGACGAGGCGAGACGGGACGGGACGGGACGGGACGGGACGGGACGAGGCGGGACGATGGCACATTGACTTTACAATATTTCTTTGGGAATCTTAGAAGCGCGGCAGGGTGAGGGGAGCGTAGATTGTTGTCAGATTGATATCGACGTGGATCGTCGGTATTGTCTAAATGCGACAATAAGTGAGAGCCGCACTGAATACGAAATGACGCTCGTCTACCTTCTCCACCATCGCGCTACAACCGATGTTGTTCTTCCTCCTTTTGTCTATGCAGCGTTGATGAAGGAAGAAAAGAACGAGAAAAACGGAAATGAAAGCCGAGTGTTTTATTAGGGAATTCTTCGGTTATTGGCCTTGGTGCATTATCGAAAATGTCACGACTCGGCAGTCGATAGCCAAACGAAACTTTTCGAGAAGCCCTTACGAGCGGATGAATGCGAGTGTTGGTGGACGGAAGGTGTGTGTGTCTCTCTCTCTCTCTCTCTCTCTCTCTCTCTCTCTCTCTCTCTCT